TTTGTATCCGTTGAGATGGAGGAATACTTCGTAGGAGATTCCTCATAGCATAGAATGTGACCTTCAGCACAGATGGGCCCACTTATTCTTCTTCAAAATCTCTAAGTCTTATCTAAAACAGTAGGTGTATCTTAAGCTATCCAGAGTATAGACCAAAATGTTGTTTAAAGAAGATTTTCAAGCGCGTAATAGTGCAAACATTTTACCAGGAGTTGCAATTTACAGGTAGGGTCCGTCCTTTTTCCAACAAACATACTGCTATTGACATCTACATTTCTGGAGAGAAATCGGAGAGAAGAAAGCGCGAGAAATGTATGTAATAATTGCATAGGACAGCAATAGCTTAGCTTAGAGTAAAAGTCTCACATTTATCGACTTTCTAAATGGATAACCCCTTCATTTATACCGGGAACAAATGAACCGATCGACAAGTCTATGGCTACAACGGTAAAATTGTATGAATTGAAAAATTTGTTGTTGGAAAAGTTAATAGTATCGTCTCCTTTGTTAGGGATTCTTATATTTGTTTGTCTGTAAAACCTAAAAAAAAAAAAAAAAAAAAAAGAAAATCTGAAAACATTGTGTAAGCAAATAAGCAAAATTTAGACAAAATCCCACGCTACAACACTTGAAAGAACTGAAGCAAATTACTGACATAACAAGTTATCACATAAGCCATTGTACGTGGGTCGTGGGACGCCATTAAACTGCTGAAAAAGAAAAATGATTGCACAAACAACTAAAAAACGAATTCTCTCTAAAACTTTGCGATTATCCGTAAAAAACAAGAAGAAGAATATTACAGGCAATGAAAAATCTGGTCATTAAACTTAGTGCATCTCAAGCGATTTAAGAAAACATTTATAACATTGTAATACTTTCGTAAGAAAACTTTCTATTTTCTGCCAAAAAAAAAAAAAAAAAAAAACAAAAAAAAAACAAAAAGAAGCAAAAATCACATTCGTTTCAGAGCGACTTTTGCATACCCACCATTCTAACCCCAATTGACGTAAACGTAATGTGAACTTAACTTAAATGATAGGGTAATCAAAATCAAGCGTATTGCAAATTAAGGGCAAATGGCGTATGAGTAACAATTACAAATGTGAACACAAAGAAAAGAGAATGTTGTTTAGTTATGCGACCACAACAAATAATAAAATGGTTAGGAAAGAAATCGAGGCAAGTTTCATAGACCTTAAGTGCTTGCCATCTTCTATTTCAACAAAAATTGATGCTCGGTTATGCTATTGTGTTAATGATAATTGTAATCTAACTTGAGTTTTTTTACTCTGAGAGGTCTGACATATATACAATATCGCTTAATAAGTTCCTAGAAAAGGAAATATAGGCGGACATATATATAGAGCACATCACTAAATAAACTCGTAGGATAAGATATGAAAGTCGCCTCCAATGAAGTAATTTTCAAGACAATGGAAAAATGTGAATTTGTGGACAACAAAATGCGACAACTGGAACTTATAACCTCACATGACTAGTTGGCACATTTCTTTTGAAGGTTGGCATTATCTAAACCTCCGATGGGTTCATCAATATCATTATATCTGTATTGAAGCCTATGATCTTATTGAGTGATTTTTTAGCATAAACACGAATACGTATTTCCTAAGCAATTTAATATAATTGCGAGTTTGGCAAAACTAAAACTCCCATAAGCTGGAAGAAGTTTTGTTTTTAAATTTGCTTGCCCGGCGCTGACGATTTGTTATATTACCGAAGCGAGGAAAGTTTTTATTATTGCAGATATATTGAAAGCAACACGAATTCGTTATTTTCCAATAAGCTTAAGGACGCTTTCGTACAAATCACTATTGTTTTTTGAAATATATTTCAATCAAGATAAGCTCATGTAATCTTTTATGATTTAGATAAGTAATAAGACAAATCCCCTAAATTCTGCAGATTCAGACATGAAGACAATTTTTATGGTATTTTCAAGATTAAGATATAGAGGAAGGTTGATGTGTGTGATGAAACGAAATAACGTAAATTCTTACATATATACATAACCCGACTTAAAAGCTTTGAGTATCAATTCTGTTCAATGTTCAAGCATTTGTTTGGCAAACGTACGAAAGAAATGGGAAACAAAACAAGTAATCAATTTATATTCGCCTTGAGATAAAACCTTCATGCCCGCTTTCCCATTCTTATACGTAGTCATTTTAAGGCATTCTCTCTGGCTCATTAGAAATGTTTTGCGCCAAGTTTTAGTTCCGTGCCTCTCAGGCTAAAGTCTTTTATTTATTACGATGGTAGGCCGATTAGTAGGCCGATCTTTTATTTTGAAAAATAATCGCATCAAATTTTAAATGAACTACGAACTGCAAAGATTTTAAATTTTCAATTACAGTTTTAGATCTACTGCGATAGAAATAAAGACCGCAATGCACAACAGACAGAGTCCAAGAATAAATCGATTCAAAATCAGAAATTCAAAGCTGATCAAAATAAATGAAGGTTTGCAAGGTGCATTCTAGGTTGTTCTGTATGTGGTATGTGACAAAAGCCCAGTGGTCTATTCTTGGCAGATGGAGGATCCATTTCGACAAAATCGCATTCATTACTAGTTCTACTAGATGACCCCGCTTGTATTTATATAATTCAAATGCATTCGTCCTCGTCTAAATCATATATAATTACGGGGCGCAATTCCATATTCGTCAAAGTAAAAGTACCTTAGTTCTATTCCTTTGATGACTAGAAAGAATTTTCTTTGCTTAATATATGAGAATTGGAATTCTTCATCCGCAAACTTAAAGGACGCGCAGCAATTTCATAGGAATTTTCATCGAACGAAATTGTAAACATCAACAGAGCAGAAAAAACAACCACTATTGAGTTGTTTTTGTACTTTCTTCCTCTTCTCGGTCCAAATGCGAAGTAATTTCTCATCAAAACTAAAGTTTCACATATTGAAACAAATTCCTTTAAAAGTTTTAAATGTATTACATTTATACATACATACACACACACACAC